TGGACAGAACACTGGGCTACTGAGCATTGCTCTTCACTCCTGGCCTTTCCTCTCAAAGGACTAGAAAACAGGGTCCCTTCCAAGTCAAACAAGAGCTAATTGGTCCTGGGAACAAGCATGGGCATAAAGGGAGTATTTCCTGATTCCAGCCTCCACTGATTAGACAGCATCCAGACGGCATGCTTCCTCTGGGAAGAGGCCCAGCTTTGCTTGCTCATTGGTGACTTTGCACTTGACTCTGATGCACACTTGAGGGGTAAGCCACAGGGAGGAGAAGGGCCACACATGACACTGTCCTTTGGAACCTCAGAAAATGGGGCCCTCTTTGCCTGAAAACCAGCAGCTTGAACTCAGCTTCAGTCAGCACGGGCTTCTAGAACCTTCTTAGTGAGCCTGATTCGGATTGCCCAGGCTCATTGTTGTGTTCCCATCTTTCTTCTCAACCCTCTCGGAAGTGAAAGTGGAAAGCTGTGTGTCTTAGGATCCAAGAAAGACCAGCCCAGGAGAAAATCATGGAAAGATAGGGGGGCAGGAGGGTCTGTGGATTGGGGTGGTGGGAGGAGTAAGGGTTATTCATGACAACATGCGTTCTTTCCCAGGTTCTCTGGCCAGGCTCTCTAGTTGAGAGACTTGTTGGAGTGACCTTGGCAATGATCATCCGGGAAAGACTTGAAGGGAGGAAATGACTTTGCTTTTCAAAATGATTTCAAATACCTCTTTCCGTAAAGATGGGTTTTCTTCATGAAAACTAGTGTACTCGTTTTTAATAGTTTTTTTTAATGAGTATTAGTTAGGGCATACTCAATAGAACAAATTTAGGAAATTCATTGCCCATACCTGGAAGAATGTACTTGAAGCTTCTTAATTTGTATTTTCCCAACAAGCCTCGTTGATTTGTGGAAAGACTCAGTATTTACAGTGGACTGCCTCCATGAGGGCTTTTTTCACATTTGAAGTTATTTCTGAAGAAGAAATCCTGTCCCCTCTAATGGGCGTGTCCGGGTGACAGTGGAGGATGGAGACAAGCCTCTGCAGAGGCCCAAGTCCAGGATGAGTCAGGGCAACTTGGCGGACTGTGGGCTTGGAGCTTAATCTGAGAAACTTCTGGAAGCTCCAGGACTCGGAACCAGATACCTGCATTCATACAGAGGCTCCTGCAACCTCAGCACATACCACTGGCAGTGCCCTGTGAGTGTATATTCATCAGCCCCAGGCCCTGTGAGGAAGGCGAGGGTCTGGGGCCCTCTCTGACCCCCCCTCAGAGAGGCTCTTGGGTCTGACCCCCTCCCAGCGAGGCACCAGCAGCTTCTGCCTCACCTGCCAGCCAGGTCCCCAGAGGCCGTGGCCTTGGCAGTGTCAGCCAGCTTCAGAAATTAGATTGAAATCCAAGTGCTGCTCCCGGGAACCTTAGCCCATGGAATCTGAGGCTCAGATGAAAGGGACTTTAGAGACCAGAGCCCTCGAGTTCGAGTCGGGCCTGCCCCTGACGCACCCGGGATCTCTAGTCCGTACCTGTGAGAATGCGGGCTGTGACGTCCCCGCGCTGCCCAGGAGCCGAGGTGGGGGACGGAAGAGGGCTTTGCTGTTCTCGCTGTGCTGCGGCAGCTAAGGAACCGGCCGGACCACCACGCCCGTGCTCGCGAGCTCCGGTCCCTCCACATCTCTGTGTCCTCTCCACCCCAAGGCCGGTGTGGTTCCTCCACACAAACCAGTTAACACGGAAGCCAGGAAAACCCACCTCCCTCCAAGTGGCTGCTCTGTCTGTCTGGGTTCATTCTGAAGCAGTAGGCATGCTTTAAACAAGGGCACCCTGGAAATAATTTTGTACTTAGGGAATCACTGGTTCACTTTCAGGCTGTTTTTCTGCTTCAGCAGACATCCTGGGCAGCTTGCGTTTCCAATTTCCTGTCCCTCCTTCGCTTCTCCTTACAAATCGTAATGTGCTGATGTCCCAGACCTGGTTCTCTCTGGCTTTGTTATAAAATGCCTCTCTGTGCTGATAGCACCGGCAGGGCTAGGCATGAGCTTCCCAAAGAGCCACCTGCGTTATGGGCTCCACCTGGAAGGATGCTCGTTTTTCTCTCTCTGCCTCTGGCCCTGCTGTCCTGAGCCCAGCAAGTTCGGTAGCAGGTCAGTCTGGTAGAGATGGGGAAGCTCCGTGGAGTACCGCAGGGCTGTGGATGACCTTTCCACTCCCTAGCTTGCTCAAGAGTAGAGACTGTACTGAGCCCTTTGAAAAGCCCTGGGCACCCTCTCGTGGTCCCTCACCACACCGGAGAAATGTGGCCCTGGGGGCTCGAGTGCTCGGTGCAGCGGCTCGCTTTCCATCTGCAGCTGCAGCTTTGTGTCCTGACATTTTCCTGCCCGTCCTGGTTCCAGATGACACCGAAGGCTACGTAGCCTGAGCCACACCGACCTTTCCATCATTCCTTGTCAAGTAATTTCATGTTCTGAAGGCCCCGCCGTGTGGGCGCCATGCGAGGTGCTGAGGTTCTGGAGAGGCCTCACAGATCGGGGAGGGCGGACTTGACCACCAGCCTGTGCTCTGTTCGCCCTCCCCTGGTCCTCTGGGAAGGGGAGAGACGAGACCTGGGGGAAGAACGGAAGGAGGATGATGGCCTCGAGGTGTCCAGGGCCTCCACAGGCCCAGCCCTGCCTGTCTACTCCAGATGTCTCCTCTCCCACGCCTCCCCTCCCTGGTGAATGCTCCTCCTCTCTCCCCGAAGGCTGAATCCTTGCCTTGGCGGTAAAGCTCCCCTCCTCCTGGTTGGAGGGCTCCTCCTCTCCCATGCTGTGGTGGCCCAGATTCATTTGGTAGAATGTTAGTGGCTTGCAACCTGGACCCGAAGGTAACCATTTGGAAGAAATATGGCAAAATGGACCAAGTTGCCAGAGCACATTCCAGTGCCCCTGTGATCCCATCACCGCAGGCTTTTGTGGTTAGAAGGGCTCCAGCATCTCCGTGTGCTCTGGAAGCTTATTTTTGCCAAGGTTGTTATCACCAAGCAGGCGCCAGAGCTTGTTCCACTCACAGTCCAATTACAGCACAATTCAAACAATAGACCTGTTATTCCGCTTGTCAGAATGTCCAGAGGGAATGCTTTTCCCCTTACCAGGATCAGACTCTTGGTGCCCTTTGTGATACACGAGACCTCAAGGAAGGTCTCTCTGATTCCCAGACACAGAGCAGTGTGTGGGAACTGGGAAATGGATCTCTGTGGCTGCCGTGGGGTCTGCTCTTCTTTCCCCTGCCCCGGCTGCTTCACCACACAGATCCTGCCCTGTGGCTGGTTGGGGGAGTGACCTCTGGGAGGCTCAGGGGGTGGCACTTGCAGGCTGGGGGCAGACTTGGCTTGCCCCGATGCATCCCCCATCCCGAGGACTGTCGAGGGAAGGGGCAGAGCTGGTAAAAATAGGTGGGATGTGGTGTAACGTGGACTACGCTCCTGCCCCTTGCCCACAACAAAGGGCCTGCCATCTCCCTGCCGTCCTGCAGGCCGCAGGCTCCTCTGGCGACAGGGAGCCCAGGCCCCCCCTCTGTGTCCTGCCGCTGCCCACCCCGGCAGCGTGCACGGGAACTTGCACGGGAGCTTAAGGAGGTTGGAGAACAGAGTGGCTGGCGCTCTGACCATGTCACCCACAAGGAGGTTTCTGGATCTGTCTCCCCTTCTCCAAATGGAAGCATTTGGATAGAAGACCTGGAAGGGTCCTTCTGGCGCTAACACCCCATGAACTGTAGACCTAGATCAGATTTCCGTATCTGCCTTGAGAGAAGACTGAGGAGACGTTCCCTCTAAAATAGCCATAATTCTACCTGGCTCTTCCCCAGCTGCTTTTCACTCTAACCCACACGTGTGGGCCCTGAGCTGTGTTTCAGGCCTCCAACCCCTGTCCAGCCTTTCAGAAGTGCGAGGCTTGGGCCTTAATAAATGAAGCTTGTTCTAAAGCAGAAACCCAGTTTATTTTAGCCTGCATGTAGCTTTCTACCGCTTTACCAGATTACTGCTCAGAAGTACTTCCCCCACCTCTCTCCTCTCCTTTTCAAGATCACAAAGAGAGGAGCGCCTGGGTGGCTCAGTTGGTTAAGCATCTGCCTTTGGCTCAGGTCATGATCCCAGGGTCCTGGGATCGAGCCCCATGTCGGGCTCCCTGCTCAGCGGGGAGCCTGCTTCTCCCTCTCCCTCTGCCTGCTTGCTCTCTCTCTGTCAAATAAATAAATAAAATCTTTTAAAAAAAAAAGAAAAAGAAAAAGATCACAAAGACAAGGGGATAGAAAGTTCTACCAGGATTGTTGCCATCTTAAAAAGTAGACTCTGGGGCGCCTGGGTGGCTCAGTTGGTTAAGCAACTGCCTTTAGCTTGGGTCATGATCCTGGAGTCCCGGGATGGAGTCCCGCATCGGGCTCCCTGCTCAGCGGGGAGTCTGCTTCTCCCTCTGACCCTCTTCCCTCTCGTGCTCTCTGTCTCTCATTCTCTCTCTCTCAAATTAATAAATAAAATCTTAAAAAAAAAAGACTCTGGAGCCAGATGCCTGGGTTTAGTCCCTGGTTCTACAGCTGCATACTCATTAGCTGTGTGACCTCAGGCAAGCTGTAGAACCTCTCTGTGCATCATTCTCCTCTGCTGGGAAGTGACAGACCATCCCAGAGAGCACCCGTCTCATAGGCTGTGGAGGGGAGGAAATAAGCTGATTTTGTGCAGTGCCCGCTGCTTGCTGAGTCCTATACAAACGTTAGCAATGTTGCATTCCTGAAGGAGCAGAGGCTATGGGAAGACCGTGAGGCTTGGAGTCAGGAGGCCTGGGTCTGAGTGCAGTTGTGCCACTTTCTGGTGGTGTGGTGCCGATTCTGAACCTAAGAACCTCCCAGTTCTCAGAGCAGTAAAACTGGAGTGAAAATGGCATCTCTCTCCAGGCTGTTTGTGAAGACCCAGGAAAATAGGGCCGGCAGACGGTTTTACCCGCACAAACCCAGTGAAATCTGCTCTCTTTCCCCTTCCCAGGCACACATTCTGGCAGTTCCGCCACGAGAACCCCAAGACGCGGGTTGGGAACCCTCCCCCCGAGGGGCTGCCCGGCTTCAACAGCGGAGTGATGCTGCTGAACCTGGAGGCCATGCGCCAGTCGGCCCTCTACAGCCGCCTGCTGGAGCCGGCCCATGTGCAGCGGCTGGCCGACAAGTACCGCTTCCGCGGCCACCTCGGGGACCAGGACTTCTTCACCATGATCGGCATGGAGCACCCCGAGCTCTTCCACGTGCTGGACTGCACCTGGAACCGGCAGCTTTGCACCTGGTGGAGGGACCACGGCTACAGTGACGTCTTTGAGGCTTACTTCCGGTGTGAGGGCCACGTCAAGATCTACCATGGGAACTGCAACACCCCCATCCCGGACGCCTAGGTCCATCCCCGTCTGCCGTGCCCTTGGGTGTCCGGGGGAGCCCAAGGGGCACCCCTGTTACCGGCCCCAGGCTGGCGTCCGAACCTCCGTGGGGATGTGCTCCCGGACGAGGTGCTGCCGCTGTCCCGCCCAGGGAGGACTGGCCTATGCGTTGCTGGTGCTCGGGGCCGTTTCTCTGCGGGGGGCCGGGCATGGTGGAGGGCCAACACACAGACATCTTCCAGGGGGCTCGGACACAGGCGCCTAAAGAGAAGAAAGGAAAGACAATGGCCCTTCGTGCCCTTAGCCCCCAAACAATGGAAGTCCTTTCAAGTACCGGCATTTCTTAGACCAAATACAAATTTATTTTAAATTGACAAGCTTCCCTTTTGCCAGAAGGAACAAACAGTACTGCTAGGGCTCCCAGGGAGCGCCGAACGAGCGAGCCAGGGTTTTCACAGCCAGCGCCAAGTTGAAGCATCCAGTGAATGCCCACCTTCCGCACGTGCACCGTAGGAGGCTGTGTGCTTGTTCCCACCACGCCCACATTGCCCGGTCGGGGTGTGAAGGTCACCACCCGCTCGGGGAGGGCCTGCAGGGCCAGCCGCGGCCCACCTGAGAAACCCGGCCTCATTACTGTAGCTTCCCCAGCTTCCCGCTCCCAGCCGCATCCCAGAACCTCATTATCCCTCCTTCATCCCAGCCGGCTTCAGGTGACCAGACGGTGCTCGGAAGTCAGATCCTCCATCAAAGAACAGAGCTCGGCCACCCCCAGGGACAGGAGATAGAGTCGTCTGGATGGAGAAGATGCATTCCAAAGAGGAGCCCCTCAGTTTCTGCACATAACCGGGTGGCTCCGAAGGGGGGTCGCTCATAGACTGATAGGCATTCAGTCTCTGTTTAAAACATCATCCTGTGATTTTTCTTACTGCATCCTATTAGACCCTGTTCCTTCTAAGAAATTAGGTTCTTCTCTGAATGAGTTCCCTTGTAAGATGCAGACACGAAGCCCCTGACGGTGCATTTTGTCTAGTTCAGCAGAGGTCCTCGGGGAAGAACTGTGGTTGGATTTTCATCTCCTTTGATTTCCATTTCATTCACTTTCTTATTTCTCTTCACCATGAGTGAGAATAGCTAATAAACAAGCTTTGAGAACACAATGATTATGTTGTTTCTTCTCTGATCACAGTTTACGGCTACCTGGAGGTTCTGAATCAAGAGTGCAGTCAGTGTTATTCAGAGCCCCCCCCCCCGCAAACGTCCACATGACGGAGCTTAGCGTGCTCCCTGGCCATGGGGACGGGGAGGGCAGCCGGGTCGTATCGGGGTCACTAGAGAATCATCTCCTGGAAGCAAGAACAGCCCCTTCCCTCCTTACTCCAAACTGTCCGGTTACATCATCCCCTGACCAAACGGAGCACGTCTCTCTCCTGCCTCTGCTCCGGCAGAATTGGTCTGTTCTCCTAGGTACTTGATTTCCTATTTATAGCTGCTAGTTGCTGAACACCTGCTGTGCACCGAGCATTGTATTGGGGGATTTATGCACAACTGATAATGCTCACGAAAACCTCATGAAGGTGATTCCAATTTTCAAGTTTATTGTAAGAAAATAACTAGAGATGTGGATAGAGAGTCATTATCACACCAGTTGTTTTAAATAGAAAACAACTGGGATCAACTTAAAATGTTGACTAGGGGAGTGGATAAATTATGTTACATCCATATAATAAAATAGTTTAGGCATTAAAATCGTATTTTTCAAGAATATTTAATGCCTTGGGAAATGCTTACAATGTGCTGTTAAGTAAAGAAGGCAAAATATAACATTATATGTACAGTATGATCCTCACTTTATTTTTGTAAAATTACATATTTGTGTGTATGCGTATATGTAAAAAGAGAGCCTGTTCCACTGTATTTAATTAGTTCAAATCCTAAAAAACCATATGTTTCAAACACCACACTAAAAACAATTTTTTTTCAATGTGAAAAAGTGGGTAAAATGCTAGAGAATTTTAGACTCATAATAACAAAGGTATTTTTCCGACATTAATTTCTATAATTCAAGGGTTTCTGTAGCTACGAGAGTCCTTTGTTAGTGCAAAGAAAGAACAATGAACTTGTTGATCAAAATGGGCAAAAGCCAAACCACATCTCCTCCTTTACCGTTGAGATCACCTCCTCAGGAGCTTCCCCGCCTCTGTCACCAGTCGCCTTGGTGAACAGCAAGATGACACTCAACAGGAAATCCAGCCGGCCCAGCAAAGCCAATGGGTACAACTCCTGGACAGCTCTTAGACGGCTGGTTCCTCATTGGAATCCTGTTATAATCGATGCAGTGCAAACATGACTAATTGTGCTGTGTTTCCTTTGCCTCATGAAAACTTTCACTGCATTGCATAAGCCTATAGGAATGAGTGGAACAGAAGTCGGAAAAGAACATTTCTAGGTACTAGGAAGGATTAAGGTGCTTTCTATCTTCATATGTATTTATTTTGATATTTCTGAATATTAATTACTTTTGTAATCATAAATGCTATAAAATTGTAGCCACCGCCATCTGCCTCTCCCCTCCAACCCCCCCCACCCCCCCAGTTACAGGCAAGTATCGTCCTGGCTACTCTACAGCTCATGTTGACCACGGTTACCATCACCTGTAAGAAAACATAATCTCGGCTGAGTAGGCTCTGGGTTTTCAACTTTCCCTATGGATGCCCTAGTTCTCTGAATAAAAGTGACCTAATAATAGCATCTCTAGCCTCTGCTTTCGTTTCTGTCATCTTGTGTGTGTACACAAATGATAATGGCCTTTGGAAAGCTTGCAGGCTTGGCGGAGAGATTTATTCTTGTATGTGTGTCAAAGCCTAACTACGCATCCCTCCCCATAACATCTCCTCTGGCCCCAGAGCGGTGTGCTGGGTCAGTGGGCCTCCAGCCAGAGCACAGCAGCAGTTTGTGGGCCAAGGGAGCAAGTTCACTGTGCCTCACAGCACCTGCTTTGACTAAGGGCAAACCTCGCTTCATTCTAAGACTTTCTGGCTGATCTCCACATGCAAAGCCCAGAGGTTTGGCTGCAAGTGGAGTTTGGCAGGGCAAGCAGAAATTTCCAAGCAATGGTGTGGTAGAGAGAACCTCACACCTAAGAGAGGACTGCCTTTGAATCCATGGTCAGCCCTCGCCACCTGGGCAATCTTGGACAACCAAGGCTACCTCTTTCTCCACTTTGAGACACTGGTAATGAGAGCTCCGTCAAAGGACTGTTGTAGGAAGAAGGAGATGTGTAAGGGCTTGGTAAGCAGGGAAATAATACAGAGATGCAAGGGGATTCTTAGAGTTACTACTTAAAATATTATTTTTAAATAATAAACAACAGCCATTTGGGGCACATTAAATGGGTTGGTGGTACCTCCCTCAGCCCAATGGATGACCAGACGCTTGCTTGTAGGTGGTCTGATTTTTTTGTGAGCCACTCACCCTGGAGAGGCCTGGGTATGTCCAGGAGGTCAGGGGTCCTGGGATAAACCCTTCCCTCTCTGGGCTCAGTGTCTGGCTCTGTAAAAACAAGGGCATCGGGGGTTGGACTAGCTCCAAGCAGCGCCCCTGCCCCCGGCACCCACACTTGTATGCATCCATCTATGTTCACGCGTGTGTGTGGCAGGGAGTCTAAGCCCAACGCAAGACCTCCACACCTCCACTCGTCAGTCACCAGCTTGGAATTTATGACCATTCAAATGGAGACTCGCTCACGAGGTACGGTTAGCACACTTTCCCCCCAGTCTGAACAGGCAACCGGAGGGATGCAGACAAACTATGGGAGAAATTTCAATCCAGAGAGACTCAGTGCCATCCACGAGCCCCAGCCCCTCTGCGTGTGGTCCCCGATAGCAATGACAGCTGAAGCCTTGTCTTAGGTTTGGCTTATGCAACTGTCTTCCAAAGAGCCTCCCAGGCAGAGCCGCTTTGTAGACGGACCCATGCCCCACGGGTCTCAGCCTGGGCAGCACTGAGTCTGGAGCTCCCAGCTGGGGAGGCCTGGTGGAGGTGCCCCGCAGGGCACATTGAGTGGACGGACATTCGGCAGCCTCACCGAGCACCTTGCATTCTCAGAGCCTGAGGGGCCTTTCCACGCCCAGAGCACCAGCTTCCCCCCTCTGCAGTCCCCCTTCCCTGACAGGTAGGATTTGTTGCAGCCCTCCCCCGAACCCCACTCCCTGCCGCACAGGCCTGAGCAGGAGCATGGAGCCTGGTGTGCGGCCAGTGGTCTGACCTCCCAGACAGGGCCTTGTAGACAGCAGGGACCGGGGTGTCCGTGGAAAAAGCAAGATGCTCCCACTCAACCCTCTTCCTTCTTCCTCCTTGGCTCTGGCCAGCCTCCAGAACACGCCGAGAAGCCCCAGGCCCAGCTTGAGAGTCTCCACCAGTTTCCGTGCTGACCTGTGGGCTTCTTGAGGGCACAGACTGTGTCACCTCCTCTGCCTGCCCCCCAGCACCCACTCAGGTGGGGCCTATGCGGAGAGCCGTGTTCCCTGGGGGCCTGGGCTGGTCTGCTGCTCAGCGTGGACTGTGAGCGAAGCCGGAAGTTCTCAGTACGTCCCAGCCGCCTTCCCTGCCATGCCATTCTTGCCAGCATTTCTAACCTCGGGCGCAGAAGGTGAGTCCATGACGCCCCCAGTACGTGACCCATTGCCACCACTGCTCGCTGGGAGGCCTCTTGTTTCATTTATTCCCATATATCACCATACCCCACCCCCAGCCCTGAACAGTCATTCTAATGTGCTTCCTGAGTGTCTTCTGTGTTCGGGCAAGGTAGTGTTATTGTTTTGTGGACATGTGTTTTAATTTGAACAACTCAGTCTATTCTCTTGCTTTTTCTTTTTCATTCAGCATCAAGTTTCTAAGCTTCACCCCCCCCTTACTGCGCACACCCCACCGCTGCACACTGCTCTGCGGTGTGCCCTCACCGGCTTGGCCACCCTCGCAGGCATTGCCGGAACCCCACAGCACCTCCCGCTCACCTCTGCCCTCCTCCCCACCCCCACACCAATGATCTTGCTGCAGGTAACTTTGTCCTAATCACAGACCTGGTAAAGCTGCCGAATGTGGTATATCCAAGAAGAACGCTGCTGGATCCCACATTTCTGCCTAAGTGGTGCCCAGAGCACCCTTCCCCGTTCTCCCCAGTGTGAGCCCTCACTTTCTCTGCATGACTGTGCTCACGTTCACGTCTCCGTGCATGGACACACACGTGGTCCCGTGATCACATCGGAGTCCTCCAAAACGTGTGGCCTGAGTCAGGGCTGCTCTCCGTGAGTGCTATCACATTGACCTTAGCCGTGAGTGCATGTCTGTGAACTGGGAAGAGTTCAGCCAGCTCCTGGCCTTGCCGCCCCCCCAGGACGGCTGTGAGCAGTAGATGAGATAAGCCATAGGAAAGTACTCCCAAGGCCCTAGACACCCCACCTCCCTTGCACCTCAGCCCGTCCCCAGTCCCCAGTGCCACCCGGTGTTGCCAGAAGCTTCGTGGTCAGCCCGAGTCCTGCTGGGGGCATGTCCTTCCGGGGGCATGTCCTGCCGTCTGACACCACACCCAAGCTTCCTGTGCTCCTCCATGCGGGTTAGCTTCTGGGGCCTCTGACCCAGGCCTGGCCTGCGAGGGAGGCAGGGACCCCTTGGCCAGGGGCTGCGGGGCTGGAAGACAAGGGGAGAGGAAAGAGAAGTGCTAGGCCTGTGTCTAGAAGAGTTGTGAGAGAGGGCCTCGGAGCACAAGGGGCTGTCATGTTCAGGTGTGAGGGGATTTTGCAGAGAGCGTAATGTGGCGGGGTTTGTGAATGGGATCACCTTTGCTCTTTCTCAAGTAACACAAATACAGGTTGGCCTTGCTCTCTTATTTAGTCCTGACGACTGGGGTATGTTTCACTGGACGCCACAAAAGGCTGAGACTGGGTCACACGGGGCCCAGGGCTTTGTTGCATAGAGGCTGCTGTAATCCTACTGCCTCTTCAGTCATCCGGTTCTGCCTACAGTCTCCGCACTCTCTGAAGGCGGGTCTCGGGCCTCCTTGTGGCCCCAGCACCTGGCACAGTGCCTGACACATTGTGGGTGCCCGTCGAATCTCTGTTGTTTGAGTGCATGACTACATGAAAACCATGCCACACCGCCACAGAAAAGAAAAATGGCACCGGTGGGTTTGGGGAGCAAGATGGAAGGGTGGAGACGTGCCCAGGATTGCCCACCTTACAGATCCCAGTAAGGGCCAAAGGAGGGAGGGATGGGAGAACACTGGGAAGCTGGGAGGACTTAGCATCAGGGCCGATTTAGGGGAAATGGTGGAGACCCAGAACTAAACACTCATGGAAGGAAGCTCCGTCTCTGTCCCCATTTAATGACTATCTGGTGTTCACATTCCTCCTTTCATCAAGCTTAATGAATTCCAGGGACTCGATAGTCCCTGTGACATTTGGTTTGCATAAAACTCCCAGTATCTGGTTGGGGGGATGCCCTCAGATGTTCTAATGGCCCGGCTTACTGGGACCTGGGCGGGCGACCCTGAGCCACAGAAGGAGTGGGAAAGAACTGTTTAGAAAGGTAGTGAGCTCCCTGTTGCAGGAAGTATGCCAGCAGAGGCTGCACAACCTCTTGTGAGAGGACACGAGATACAAGCCCAACAGCAGATAGGAGCTGAGATGGCTGACTTACAAGTCCCTGGCAACCCTGAGCTTCTGGATTCCCAAGCCCATCTCCCTCCCCTTTCTCCACAACTAACCCCACGGGGAACTATTTATTCTCTAGACCTGAGTGTCTTCATGTGTGGATTCTAGAGGATCTGCCTACTTCCAGGAGGGAGACTCCTCTATGGATAACTGAGGGACCAGGATCACCTGAACACCCTTCCACGCCCATCCCTCCCCCTCTCCTCCCGTTCCCAGTGTTCATCTCCGAGTCCTGGCAGAAGTGCCACCGGAGGTCACACTGGACATCCCACAGGCAAGCGGTGGTGCCAGGAAGGGAGAGGGACTGGGAGGGGGCCCCAGAGGTGGCATAAAGTGGCTTAGTGGAAACATACCCTGTGGCAGGGACTCGATTCGTGGTTTGCCCCATGAGCTGGTCAGTTCCCAGGTGGAGCACCAGGTGTGGCCAGGAAGGAAGAGGGACTAGCAAAGGCAGCATATTTCTTTTGGATGGACAGATGGATGGACAGGTGGTCAGCTAGCCGGTGGGTAATTGGCTGTATGGTTGGAAGCCCCCCCCCTTTCTGACGGGGCCCAAAGACTTGTGTTCCCGGTGGTGGACCAGCAGAACAGCATGCAGAAGGCCGGACTCAGGCCTCTGCCAAATGTCCGTTCAGTCTTGCCTGAGCTGGAAAACAAACAGCTTGCTTGGAGATGCCAGACGTGCCCCCGTGATTATTGCTAGCACAAGTACAGCATTCCGTGCAGACGGAAGAGGGTGCCTTCTATTCTCTTCGTGCCCGTAAGCGGCCGTGGTGTCAAGCTGTCCCCTGGCCCTTTCTCGACCACCCCCGGCCCCCAGCGCCACAGGCTGGTAGCCCTGCTCCCCCACAGACTCCCTTGCCCTTCTTGTGGGACCTTTGCAGGCAGCTGGGCTGAGGGAGGAGCTAGGGACACAGCTGAGATCATACAGAAGTTGCTGGTAGGAAACTCGGGCAGACACTGGTGCGACAGGTTATGAATGGACCAGACCTGCCAGGAGCTCCGAGATGAGAGAGGTGTGAGCTGTGGGTGCAGCGGGGT